CAGACAGACAGACAGACAGACAGACAGACAGACAGACAGACAGACAGACAGACAGACAGACAGAGAGTGATTATCAAATTCATGCACGTAGCTTTTATAGCCTAGAGTCCTTCTTGCACTGCCAATAAGAGAAAATGGTCGTAAGACAGACATTTCGGTGTCCTGGAAGACAGTTGTTCGAAGACGTTGGCAAAAGTGGTCCCTATTCATTTCGGGAAGAGCGATATGAAAATTGTAACTGATAGACTCAACAGTACTGCAGGCTGCAGCTGAATTTGATTCATTGACGGTAATGTTGGGTATGTAGCTACAATAATTTAAACAATTAATTACACGATGAGAATAGGTGTCTGAATGACATTTGATCACTTGGTCATTCTGAACGATACAGTCCATTCTGATGACAGAAATAGTAAATTAAATACTACTTTAGGTCTATTTATTTTTGGCGTCAGGATACTATAAAGTGAATTGCTATTTGGGTAGGAAGAGCAACAGTCCAGAAACTCAGTAAGCAACAATATCAGCGAGACCAATTGAGAGTAGGTTTGGTCGTAATAGTATCATTTCCTCTTTTATTTATTAGATGGCGAATAATATTGGGAATGTAATTCTCTCAGCAGCAGTTTGAATCGCGAAACTGTCAGTTTAACTGGAAACGAGTGATGGGAAAAATCTGATCAGAATAGACAGTTACGACATAACCAGTACAAATTAATATATAAAATATGTCTGGGAAATTCTGTCGAAAGAAGGAATCAATATGTGTACGCGAACTGAAATAATGATAATTCGAAATATGCAATATTTGTAATCATCTGGAAAGGGCATGGCATTTTGCATAGATCTTTATAATTTTATTGGAAAGTGATGCCAAATGTTCATTTCTGGATAGAAGAGTTTGCAAATCTGATGAGGATTTATGATATAATTACCCCTTTCTTTCAAAAGTGCCGGAGAGATGTTTGAGGATAAGTGAACGCTCCTCCTTGTAAGAGGTTTTACGGTTGCTCTGTTGTGAGAAAATATTTCAACACTAATGCATCAGACAATCAAGGTTGTATCTCTAAGATTATCTTTCTTTATTCTTTATGGCAAAGGGAAAAGCAATATTCTTCTACGAGGGCCCTACGGTCTTTAGTGACAGGAAACGCATGTCTAAAATGTTTTTTTCTTATCGTTTGTGTACAAGTTGAATAACGTAAAAAAGATACGTTTTAACTTTCGACAACTGCATTATAATCAAAGAACTTTCAACTAGAGGATGGTTCTCACGATACTTTTCATTATTGATGGGAGTATCATCGTTAGAGGAAAAGTAAATAAAAGTTATTACTCGTTCTAGAAAAGTTACAGGAATGTGAGTTTCAAATCATAAAGTTCCATTGAGTAAAAAAGACCGTTCTAAAGAAACTGCGTTTCCCAAACTATTCGTTTGTAGATCTATTGTGCAGGATGAGTAAACATTTATTTTAGACCTGCGGGGTGGGACTTTTGTTATCCTTTAGTATTTTATTTTGCAGAACAAAATGAAGTGATCAAAGATGATTTAGTATACTAGCAATACCAAGAGTCAAAGGCTTCTAAAACCCTGCAATGAATCATTATTCAAATAATCATTCTGAACTTTTATTCCGATTTCTCCTGGTATTGCGGACAGTGCGGTATGAAAATATTCAATTTTATCCATTTATTAAAACGACGTTTCGAGGCCTGTTCTTCACCATCGGGGGTTTATAAAATATTTTGTTGCAAGATAAAGTAGATATAAGTTCTCCCGTTACACAGGGTAAAATATAGTATACTAGCAGTTCATACATGATGCTCTGGAAACCATGTTTTATTCTGTGGAATGCGAGAGCATATATCTCTTTGATCTTCCAATAAAATATTTTTTAAAACCCAATGGTTAAGAACAGCCTCAACGTTTTTTGGATGAAATTCAGTGAATATCTTCTTTCTTTGCTGTTCCTAATATAAGGAAAAAATCGGAATAATTACACCAATGTTGGACAATCACGTTATTCTATTCAATGTTGAAATTTGTTGCCACGCGTTGATGTGTGCATCACGTAGAACGTGTGGCACTTCAGACGCCAAACACGGGATAATGTGGATGGAAGTATTAGGCAGCGAGTGTCGGGCAGGTGCAGCGCTAAGCGCGTCACTTTCGCTGTTTCCTCAGGGTCATCGCTGTGGCACGAGGAAGACTTCCCCTTCGTCCGAGCTGGCGGACGCTGCCACTCTATATCCCTCGTCTTCTCACCATGGGGCTTGCCTTTATTTAACTCTGATGCCTATATTCGGAGGCCAAATGGCAATTTTGAATCACTATTTATATACATATTATTTCAGAATGTATGTTTGATTAATTCTAGAATATCGTATTTTTATTTATTTGTTCTTTTGGTTTGTTCGTGTCTTTGTTTCTTGTTATAATGCCATCTTATTTCCATGTAATACGCTAAGGATTTTTTTTATTTATTTGGTCAAAGAACAGTAAAAGCTGTATGTGACGTATGGGGGAATAGGAATATATCAGAGAGAAGGATAATGGAAAACTTGGACAGTAAAAAACCATATACGCAAATACTGTAAGTGCACTACTGCTGGATGGAGAATTATTCAAAAATAAAGCATTCAATAGATTTCAGACAACAAAATCGAAGTTTTCCGGTTCTGATGTACAAAACAGATTTCTGCAGCACACATTTTAATCGCACATAAATATGAAAGGATGCGTTGCAAGCCCTTAAAATCAGGTAGTCATTTTCATTCAAGGACTCTGATTTTGTGAGGCCAGATGAGTTTCGTAGGGACACGCGTTTTGAGGGATAGATGGAAATATCGAGGGACAGGTAAGGATAGTCGGGGAACATGTGGGTAAACAAAGGGGGTTATGGTCGCTAATGATTTAGCTGTTGATGCGCCCTTAAATAAAACAAGGAGGATAGGTTGGGACAATGGGGGAATGTGAGACAGACATTTGAAAAGGGCAGGGCAGACACACTTCAACACCCAAATTGACCATGTGATTTCAGTACTCACCATCGTAAAAATGGTATGGATAATGAGCGTGACCATGCTAGCAGTTTCCAGAGTGGATCGAAATAATTATGAAATGTGATAGCCAGAGAGAGCTAGGAAGGGTCCGGAAAACTGATAAACTGTAGTAATTGGGGGCTTCAGTGTTTATACACGGAGACCTGACGAAACACTGATGGTCTCTAGGCCTTAATGCGGGAATATCATACCAACTGCAGAAGAATCGCAGCATCGCTGTTTACTGCTCACATCCTGGAAACACTCCCAGGGATTCTTAGGTATTTGGTATGACGTAAACCCTTAGAAGTAGCAACCGGCGGAGGAGCTGAGAAATTATATTAATAATAATATTAATAATAATGATAATGATAAAAATTATAAAAATGATAATAATGATAGTGATAATCATAATCATAATCATAATCATAATCATAATCATAATCATAATCATAATCATAATCATAATCATAATCATAATCATAATAATAATAATAATAATAATAATAATAATAATAATAATATAAATTGAATTCAATACCATAGGCGTCAAGTCAATTAGGACACCAAGATATTATGTTCTTCATTTATTTCAACGTTCGTGGGTGATTAACGCCCTGCCTCTTCAGGTATTGGAATGAACATCAACATTCTGAAATAATCCAACACCATGTAACTTCACTGATAAAACAAACTAAACTAAATCAAGTCAATTAAATATAAAAACACTCTAAAATGCATTGTTGATACCTATATTTTAATTTTATTTGCTGATAATATAAAAATATTGTTTTATTATGTAAAGGACTTGGTTTAGAATTGCATTATTGTAATTCGTTTGTTCGCTTTGTAAAGTCATAGTGTTTACAGTGTTGGTATTGATTTTAGTACTTGAAGAAGGACATTAAGCACCCACGAAACGTAGTTAAAATAAATAAACAACTTAACATTCTGATGTTGTAATTGACTTACGCTCTATTGTCCAGAATTTAATTTATAATATAAATCAAAGACTTACAGGAAAAATTATCATCTTCAGTAATTCTAAGTAATTAACATAAGTTTAATAATAATTTTTATTATTTATTAACAATTTAATTAATTATTATTAATATCAATAACAATCATAGACGAATCAATTATCTAAGTACATCAAGCAAAAATACATTCCCAGTAAATAAAAAGTTAACAGGAATTTGCATTTTACGCATCACCAATCATATTTTGCTGCAGCATGACTATCAAAAATGAATTAACTGCTACTCTAGTGTTTTCCCTCACGAACAGAATTGAGACCTCGGCACCAATTTCATGTTTTCACTCACATTACCCTTTGTTTTACGTTAACTCTTTTCTCTGATTCTTCAATCCGTTCCTGTTGCATGTGCCTCTTCTTTTTACGTGTTTAATCGTATTTTTACTCAATTTTACATCCATTATCAAATAGACGTAAAATTCTCCAGTGAAAACACACTAAATTGAAGAAGTGTACCTCCATTAAATCACCCAAAATGTGTTTTATTAGGGTCTTTCGTTATAAATTGCAATAACTTTCCAAGAAGGCAATTTTAACAAATTAATTTCTGAAGATTTCGTATAGACATGTTTCCAAAATTGCTTATTCATTAAATAAAGCCACGTTGCTATCTTTGCTACTACGAGTAAATATGTGAAGCGGTCTAATATATATATTTTTAATTATAATTTCCGATTTGTGAAAGTCCATTAATTATTTTTAACAATTTAGTTGCCATATTTTGCAAATACATAGCAACTAGTAAAATGTGACATCGCTGACGCTGTAAACTGTTATCACAGTAGTTTCATGCGTGGAAAATTTATTTCATGCCCAGCTTTGTTCAAATATGCCCTTTCAGTATCAGGCATTGGACTTATTAATGACTCGTAGTAGCTGATAATATTATACCCCCTTCATATATTTTCAACATGCAATGGCATTGTGTGTTACCTCCATACTAGATATGAACTGGTCTTAATGCAATTTAAAAATTATAATCGCCGCAACACATACTTGCAGGGTGTAATGCAGGGTGAGTTGAATTTTAGTTGAATTTTAATTCAGCTACATTTTAAGCTTTTTTCTAATATGCACTAACATGCACATAGCACATTTGCATTAGCACAAATGCTAAATGCAAAAATGCCGGTGATTCCCAATTAGTTCCGGTAATTCTGTAGTAACATCTACATTTACATTTGTTTCTTCCCCGGATTTCGTTAACATATCCATATTTTTCTTCCTTAATTTTTGAAGAGATTGATACTTCTCAAACTCACTCTAATTTGTGTCCACTTCTACTTCTGTAATTGCTCTATTAACTTTGTATGCGAATCTAGCTTTGCATACAAATCTAACATTATAAGGCGACTGTTTTGTATGTTTATGTGAATAAGGAGTTAGTTAAGTTTAATAAACATAAGTTGTCGGTCACATGCATTTGAAAATCGATATTTGCACACTTATGTAAGGACATAAAAGTGCGAAGTAGAACATAACGTTCATTCATTCTCTAGCATTACTTACAGTTTTGTTTTCTCCGTATTCACTTAAAATTCTTCACGTTTAATAAATCCTGAGGCAATATTGTTCTATATTTTCGCAAATTAATTTTTTTCAATACGTTAATTCGAACCTAAATTGAAAACAGTCTGCGGCGCGATTTACTTGGTAATTCAATTGTTCACTTAAGGATGTCAACAGCGTTGCCAACGTCATGAAGGAAAATTATGGCGTATTTTGCTAAAAAAAAATGTTTGGATACTGGTGTTTAATCAATGCCACAACCATAGATCGATTTAGGAGGCATTGGTTTAATCCCTGGCATTATCACTAAGATCGCAGCGCCAAAACACGAAAAAACGCGTTTTTGGAAATTTATTTGAATCATCTGGCCAGATCTGAAAACAAATTATCATTTCCCCATCAGGTGACAGAAACGCGTCGAATGACACCTCATATGTCTTGATTGGTGTACGAGAATTGGTCTAGCCGCCAGTGACAGTATCACACATACGCACATTCGCACACTCAAGAGTTTTACTCGAATACTGAATAGGGATTACTATGTATTCTGATTTAAAACAGGACACTGGAACAATGACAATTTAAAAATACCTCTTCCGTGAGGCCGACTTTTTCAGTGCAGTAATGTGGGGAATTCTCCACGAACGTATGTAAACAAACTCTCTGAATAGAAAATAGGCCAAATAAGAAGAATTAAATGAAAAGATAAATTGCACTCTCAACTGCAACATATTCATTAGTCATTGTTGTTGAATTCAAAGAAAAGGTGCTATCATGCATTGTTGGTTTAACAAGCAAATATTTTTTAAGCAATTGCGGTTTTTTAAACACGTAATTTAAACAATTGTTTAAATCATGGTTTAAACCAGGATAATTTAAACGAGAAAATCCTGTCATTTGCGCATAATAGTGAACAAACATTGAACATGCGAGTGGTTGCAGAAGCAGCTAGGACTTATTAGGATGTATTACTTAATTTCACAATAATTAATTCTTGTTAATGACAGTCATTGAGACTGCTGGTGGAGAACTATCTACGCTTAGATTGAATTGAAATGTGTAAGTGAAGATTTTTATACTCGCTAAATTCTCAGAAAACGCTCAAAGAACACACTACACCATGCCTACCTAAAACACTGGCCGTAGGGTAGAAGCCCTGGCAACCGCGAGAAGATGAGCGCAATCCTTGAAACTCAGTTCTGGGATGATCAGGTTCGTAGATCTGGCAGCCCTCCGGGCAAATAATTCTCTTATTTTGCGTTTAAAAATTATTGGATAATGTACGCGAGAAAATTAAATTTCCCATTGAACAAACCGGGAGAGATTGCTCAGGGTATAACTGATGTCACTGAAGTCCTCTGATCGGGAGATCCTAGGTTCGAGTCTGGACGGTGGCAGGATTTTCGACAGTAGCTTGTTATCTAGGTCGAATTCAGACGCTGCCTGAAGGAGAATTCTAGCGGCTGGCTGGTCGGATCGGTAGTTTTCCGTGGTTTCTGCGAACAACACGAGGCGAATGCCGGAGCAGTACCGTAACACCGAGAAACGGAATGCACGCGACCTCACCTTTCTTTACCTTGACTTGTCCTTACCCCTTACACTACACATACACTTACACACACATACACTAACACGTACTTCACTACCACAAAAGACAAGAGACCCGTCAGGAGCTAAGAGCGTGTACCAACTGGGGCGGTGCCCCGCTGGTGGGAGATACCTGGTTGGAAAATCCCGCTAGCCGACGAAAGCTCGTCACCGGATCTCGCTATACAGCGGGGGATCACCGCCACCTTCCGAGCAAAAACCGTACATAACACTTAACGGGACTAATGACCCTGGTAGTTGAGGTGCCCGGAATCACTAATCAATCAATCCTAGTGAAAGATGACTTTCTAATTTTCCTCCTTTTTCGTGTGCAGGATTGCTCTAGGGAATACCACTGGAGCTTTGGAAATTGTCTATAAATCTCCGACTCTCGAAGCGAGAAGGGGATTTATCAGAGATTTTCCAAAGGTATTTAATGGAATTCAATGGTATTGAATAGAATGGTTCCATAGCACGAATGGTACTTATATTTCCCGAAATATTGTATAACAATTCTATAGAAACACTTCGCAGCGTTGGAGATGCTATGATTATTTCATAATTACCAGATTTAGTATAGTATATAGAGATAGATATTTCTCTCGGTTATTGTATAATTTGTGGCCAGATGAATTAAATTTGTGGGATAAAGATAGTCACTGTTTTAGACGTCGTACAAGGTTTTTAAAGGAAAGATTTTTGGTTTAAACGAAGAACGTACCATGAAGGCAAGTGCCTCTGGCCTCGTGTTCTTTTAAACTCCTGTTAAGTAGGAGAGCAAATTGTGCTCTGTAGTTTGACTACGCAAAAGGCAAACAGAAGAACCCGAGGGTCCAGTGGCGGCGAGGTCTTTAAATAACACTCGACCACCGGTCGGAGACGGCTGTAGGTTGCTGCTTTTATTTGTTGTGGAAGCAAGGGTTGTGTACTTTGAAAGAAGAAACGCAGAGTGTGTTTTCTTGTTGCTCCAGTGTGGAATGTACTACGCATCGGTTCCTTACATATTATACTACACGCAGCTGAGGCCAGTCACTTCAGCCTATTGGATTATGGAGTTGTACGGCTTTTGATGATTCAGCTGAATATTGGGCGCTAATGGTTTCTTAGAATTGCTGTAGGGAGATTCATGGTTGTACATATCAGTACTGGAGATTGCAGCACGTGAGACTTACAAATAAAATTTATGGTAATTGAAAGCTTGAAATAAAAAGGATGTAAGTGTTTTTTCATACTTCCGAGAAAAATTAGTTTATACACGTTAAACATAATGGCACATACACCTCCTGTCATTTTTAATCACCCCGTAACTACCAAGAAATGCGTGTGGACTTTGGTTCTTATTTATGTTAAAGGGCTTGATTCATTCATCGTTATTATACTAAAGACGTAAATTAAACAGCATTGGCACGTATATACTTATTTCATCTTCAATTGTAATTTAGCTCATATTAGAAAATATAGGTTTAGTATATCTCGCTAACCTCTCTTTATGTAACGTCTTTAAAAGATGTATAAAAATATTGCTTAGCTGCCTGATATGGCCTAAATATTGAACCTTGCGAACGAAGAAAAACGCAAATTTGTGAATTGACGAAATTGGTTTGCAAATTACGACAGAACTGTATCGCGCGCTGCCAACGATCGTATCTAATTTAGGTCGTCAGGACTCAAATTCCCCAGCTGGCCCTCACAATTGCAATCCGCTCACTCTATGAAAATGATACAAATGACCTCCCGAGTCTACAACAGTGCTTTGGGCCTTGGGAATGCGCATACATTTGCTGCGATATACAGGCTCCGACGAAATCGAAAAATGACAAAAAACACATTAGAATAATTTTGCTTCTGAGACTAAAACGGTCGTAGAATTATTCATTGCTATTTTTACGAGGAATACGCCGGTGTGTTTTTATCACCTTACATTATTCACCCTATTTTTTATATTTTTGTTTCTGTTTTTGAATGTTTCTAATTCCATCGTAACCCAAGGTTAATTTAATTTTGAGTATTCATATATTTTAAATTACTTTTATATTTAATCTTCCAGTGTATCTGAAGTTAGTGATTAACTGAGTAACAAAACGTCCTTATTATGATTATTGACATAATTATGACATCAATAAATTAAATTAAATCATTTCGTTTCAAAGGAAAGGGTATGTTGATTCTCGTATGTAATACTTACATCAAGAATATTTTCCAAGCACTAATTAAAACATTTAACAATAATGGTTGGCTGCTACCGATAAATCTAAACTAAATATTCTGTTGCTACCCGAGTTTTAGCAATTAGTTTCTTTGATACTTTTTAAGCCAATACAAAAACAGATAAATATACTAGTATTTCAGTTAGAAGATCAATGCAAGAAAGCCATGCAATTATAGTTATAATGTAAGAATGAAGTTGATTTCGTTTTATTACATGTGGATGGCAGGCCGCTACGTCACCTGCGAAGGACACACTCGTTTCGCCAGCTGAAAAACCGTACGGGAGGTTGTGCAGCGAGTCGTGCGAAGAAAATGTAGAAGGTATTTTTCTACTGATTCTTTCCTAACATTTACAATACTTGTAGCATTCGAGGACTTCGGATTATTCGTGGAAAATATGTATTTCTTTTTAAAAATTCGTAGCTTCTTCAATTACTAATGTTACCAAAAGAAAACCAAATATGTTATTTACATCACATCGCTTCGTAGAGATTTGCTTTGGACATATTAGGTGGCCTACCTTGTATAGAGGGGCCTTCGAAGGCTCGTTGCATAGCGTGCTCGACTTCCACGATGCAATCTGGGGTTCGATACTGGGTCGAGGAAAACATTAATTGTGTGCTTTCCTTGCATTGTCTCAGTAAATGTTGCTGTGTGACGATGCGAAAGCTCACTTCTCAGGTTGCGAATACCAGAAATACAGCGTAGGGATGACTATATGCTAACCACACGCACCCGTCAATCCATGGGCGCAAGGCCGGGACGATGATGGTTGACCTTAGGTTGTAAAGAACTGGTGCCCAAGTACATATATATCTTGTATAGAGAGCTACTCCCTCTTCTTCATAAAAAAAACAAAATATTAGATACAATTACTGACATGCGCATGTCAAATAACAATAATAATGATAATAATTTCTACGTTACTGTTTGTGTGTCCCATAAGAAGTTTGTTCCTCCTGTTCAATTCGTTTTACAAGCGATGCATTGTAACAGATAAAAGAATTTTGAATTTTTAAGCCTGTTCATCACTCTTTGTGTGAATTGAACATTTATTCATAATAAGCATTTTAAACATTCTTTTATGGTGAGTTTCACGTTGAATTTTGATTTTAATTTTGAATTTGTGACGAAACATCTGTCGTTTTACTTACAGTAGGTGGCCAATTTATTAGAGTGGTATTTGTGGAATTTGTAGTTTTCTTAGCAAAGGAATTGGTTTTGATTTAGATTCTATTTTGCTATGTATTACAGTTTTCATTGCTATTATTTTTAATAATAAGTGACAACACTGGATTATTGTGTTATTTAAGAAATAAGTGATTTTAGGTCCCATTCAGTTGAAGTTTATTGAAAACTGCTGCTGCAATGAATATATACAGATAATTTTTTGTTTTTGAAAGTTTTTCCTTTCCAAAATAATCAAAATGTAAGTATTGATTCTTTCTGTATTACTTTTTCTAAATATTATGAGTGAATTTCATTTTAATTTACAATGTAACGTCACAACCTCAAGGTTGTTATTTTTTAGAAGGATAAGACTTCAGACACGACTCCAACGAAAATTACAGAAATACACTGTTTCTCCACTCCACACATTCACAGAGAAATTTGGTAACTATTGCAGATGTTTTGAGAATTGTCGATCACAAACTAAAAATAACAATTGATTAGAACAAACCTCTGGAAGAGGGCCGTGTGCATAAATATGGCAGTAAAAGGATTACCCAGTCTACCTACCGGCCGTAGAATCGGGGATATCTGCCTCAAAACTCGTAAAAAGAGTGTTTCCCGTTTGACTACGATGATACACGCCGAGTACCAGTTTCCAAAATGACTCTCCGCAGTCGCAGAGAATCTGATCGGTCGTCGTCCCGTCGAAAAACCACGCCTCCCCCAGCCCATAAAGAAGAAGCGAATGCAGTTGGCCAGACAGCACTAAATACATATCTGTTGCGAACTGAAATAGAGTAATGCAACATTTTTATATATCTAAAGCACTAGTGAGTATCATCAATAATGCGTTTTGGTAATGTTTTACAGGTATGCTCTTCTGCAGTATCAACGTTTCAGATATCGATCGACTAAAGTTCATTTATCCGACGACGTCCTGGGGAACAGATCCATCCTGACCACATAGCCGCGAGGGTTAAACACTCGATTAGTGTCATGGTGAGGTCTATGATCTCAGTGAAGGGTATAAGGGGCGCAGTATAAGGGGCTCAGTACAAGCGAGAACTAAAAACTCTGCTACTGACAGAACTCAAAGCTCGAAAAGTGGTGATTAAGAATTCATTTGTTGCTCGATTCAGCACCGTGCTACAAAGCCAGAAGTATTACTGCATTCCTGGGAGAAATATATTATCGTTTTGCGCTTTCCGAGGAACTCACCAGACATGAACGCTATAGAGACATGTGGAAATTAACCAAACGGCCGATCGCCATGCAAGTGGTCACTACTAACAGTTAGATAATTGAAATTCTCAACAAAGAATGGCATAACAACATTGAACTGCAATAATATGCAAAAGTCAGCATACCGAGCGTGCCGCGACGTATTAAAGCTATAATTGTAACAAAGGTTGGTGTCGCAAAATACTATTATTAATTTTATATAAAAATAGTTTTACCTCATTATCGTATTGTTTTTATGATCATAATAATACTCTTATGCATGAAAAATACCTATGAAACCAAAAACCAATTATTTGTTTAAAAATGCAGATGAACAATAAAACACGAAAATATGGATCCTGTCCTTAATAATTCGGCCACCTACTGTATGTGATTACATAATTTTGAGATTCTTTTCTAGAGATAAGACTCCTCTGACACGATTCCAAAATTTGGGAAGTGAAACATTACATGTTTTTTAATAATTATTGTTGTGTTATCGTAAAATTTGTTTGAATATCTGCCTAGAGATGAATTACATAATTGCAGACAACAATGTTGTTATATTAAATGAAAAAAATAGCATAGAAGATTTGACAGGATTAGAGAGTAAGTCCCCACGTGCCTGCAATCGAAGGCGCTTTTCAGGGGCCAACGCCCCCGAAGGCACTGACCGAGAGATGAACAGCGAGTCAGACGCGATGGATGACATAGACCTTAACATTCTCGCAGAGCGTCCATGAATATAGGGAAGGAGGGTCGCTCATTGTGCAATGGGACGTTTAGACGGAAATGTTTCATATGGCGCAACACAGCACAGCAACACAAACGACTATACAGAACGGAAAGCTGGAAATATTCCTTCACAAACCAAATGATATTGAAATGAAAGAAATGCACATTCACCTGCAAAGAATAAGTCATAAAATGTGTAATATGTACAGTGATATTTAATTTAAAAATATTTTTAAGAGCAATATTTTGACAAATAACTTATATCTGACAGGTTATTTGACATTGTACGCTATCTAATTGATTGAATAAAGCTTTTCCAGAACAATACTATACAGAGGATTCAGATTGGAGTTGCGTATTGGGATAGTTGAGATAAGAATTTATGTCCTGGTTAGTGAGAGACAGTTTTGTTGTGAAATTATGTTTTGTGTCATCATCCTTCATGTACGTTCATTAGAGTTGCATAGGCTGTTGTAGAAAATGTAGCTACGAAAATATGACTAACGAAACCAAAGTTAGTGATCCGAGTCGAGTGAAAGACATGGGTAATTTTCATAATCCCATGTTAAAATATGGATGTGATTAAAAATGTAGTGAAAATGAATATATGAATAAAATTAAGTTTTTACTCAATTTTATTATTGCACTGTAATGTCATTATTTAAAGGACGATTTGTTTGTCTACCAGCAGTTTTTCAGGGCGTGGTGCGTAGTTCAATGGAAGAACGAGCACCTTATTATTGTCACATTCTTTCCAGAGTTTCCAAACACGCTTTACTCATTAAACACAGAGGCGCAGCTAAAGCTGACCTTCGGAGGGGGGTTCTAATATTAATACAAAAAGTACAAGAAATACAAAATACTCGTATAAATAAATATAACATTATAGAGTATATATCATTATACCATTGTAGAAAAGTATTATTGTGCATAATAGTAAGTTGTATGGTGGATTATTATGTTTATTATGTTTATTATGTTTATTATGTTTATTATGTTTATTATGTGTGGCGTTATGGGATTGTGCCACCCCATAACACCACCGTCTCATATGTGAACACTACGGAAGCAGCGAGGATAACAGGCGTGTAAGGCA